TATTATTATTATTATTATTATTATTATTATTATTATTATTATTATTGGGCAACTCTTCTCTAACGGGTACAGGTCGCACGCATCTGAGGCTGCCTGCGGGCAGTAGAACCGTGGCGTGGCGCGTGCGTGTGCGGGTTGCGATGCGCCACATTCGATAGAATTGACTAAAATTTTCGTTGATTTCATAAACGATTAAAGCTTTCTGAAGAATAGACAATTTTCGGTAATTAGACAATCGATACAAGCCAAATCATAGGCTCATAACATTAGTGATATTGGTACACCATTCGGTTTCGAGTGCAAAACTTTCCTCCGAATCGAACGGGAATCCAACAGGGTTTGCACGGGATCCCGGCATCCCGGGATTTCAGTTCTGATCCTGAATCCGGGATTTGAGTTTTGAAAAATCCCGACATCTCGGGATTTGATAAAACAGGTCAATTTGCGGCGTGAATTTTGAATAGTATGCTCATCTTGAAGCAAGTCTTAATCATTCCCATTTCATTCGAATGCAGTCGTCTTTGCTGATTGCCCTCTATCATTGATGAATAGCTGAGGAAATAGACGCACCAAATAATCCAACGCTTTAACGTCCCATTTATTACCTGAATTACCTGGATTGGTCAAGCTATCAAACGTTTGTAACGTTGTTGGCCACAATGCTCGCAATGTTTCCGTGAGTACTGTTTTAGCCTCAATTTACGCCTAAACCCCGCTGGCTGCTAGGCGAGCAGGCCAACCGAACACAACCGAGTAATTAATTAGTTGCCGTGAATACTTTGCATAATTAATCGTAGCCAAATATCAGTCCAATAAATAATCATTGATCTAATAAAATCAATATTCCGCCGATCGCTCACAGCGATCGACGAAACAACCACTCGATGTCCAAGTAATCCTAACACAACGGATAATAACAGATAATAGATACAAGCCAATTATCGCTACTATTTAAAGGCATATCTGTGAGTGGTTGAAGCTGAATGCGATCTGCCCAATGTGCAAAAGGGCGGTGACTACAGTGATGCATAATATACGGGACGACGGGGAGGGCGGGCAGTCCTATGATGAGTTTGTATTTATTATTATTTTTGTTTTTATTATTTATTATTGTTATACTTATTATATTATTTATTCATGTTTAGTAAAAGTAGTGTTTTTCTGTAATATTGGGCTGTGGCGATTTGCAGAATGTGTGCGGCGGTGGGCGGGGCTTGCTGTGGCGGCTGTGGTGCATTGTCGAGCGAGCGTGCAGCAGTTAACAGCGAGCCACGCCCAGCGCCGAACGCACGCGCTCTCGCTGACGAGAGCGATCGTTCGCTTACGTAGAGGCCGCCATAGAATAATGTGGCGGCTGGATTAGAAGTTTATATTAGTAAAATTGTTATAAGTTATGGTAAAATAATGGTAATTCTAGTGACCGGTCAATCTGCCTAAAGACATTTTGCCTAACGACAGTTTGCTTAACGGACAGTTTGCCAAAAAACAGTTTGCGTAACGGACAATTTGCCTAATGGACAGTTTGCCTAACGGACAATTTGCCTAACGGACAGTTTGCCTGGTAGGCGAAATATCCATTAAAATCTGTAAGTTAGGCAAACTGTCCGTTAGACAATGTGTCTTTAGGCAAACTGTCGTTAGGCAAAAAAATATCTTTAGGTAGTTTGATTGGGTACCGATAATTTCATCAGTATTATGATTATATTATTGGGATGGAAAAGTGATGTGCGTGTGTTTGCAGGATGTCAGTTCACGAACTGCAACGATTGGCAGAGCAGAAGCGAATCGCCGAAATGCAACAACAACCGATGGATGTGGAGAGAAGAGAGTTGGTGCTGATGATTCGTAATTTGAGGAGAATCATCCGAGAGTTCGATGAAATCTTGTTGAGGTGAACACTGCCTTAAGTTTTTACCATTTCCAATTACATCAAGCCCTGTGCACAGTCATAAAAGCACACAGCAACTGAGGATTCCCTCCTGAGAGAATCCTAATTTGCTGTGTGGTGGCGATTGGCCAAAATGGCTGGCTAATCGCGCGCTAGCGCATCATCGATAAACGGGGCCTTGCGCAGTAGGCGTGGCCTCGGTTTGTGCGCAAGCGTCGTTCATAGTGCGTGGGCGTATGTGCGTGTTGTACGCGAGCGTGCTCGTGTGCGATCCCCCGCCCCTTTTCATCCAAATTAAACAAGTGCCAGTAGTGCCTCATAGAAAAGTAACAGTAATAATTTGAAGAAACGAACGAAATGGCGTTGAGACCTCACCCGAATGGTCACGTCAACGTCAGGTTTGTGTAGAGCGTTGTAATCGTTACCAGTTGCTGCTGGACAGCTTTGACAGACCGAGGTTCGGTTTGGTGTTATTTGTTTGTTGGTATTATCCCTTATTGATGTGACGTCTTGAAATCATTTGCATTGATTGTTGTTTGATGTGTTAGTGGGGATTGGAACGCAGATAGTGTCGGTTTAGAGCAGTTTTCTCAAAGCACTATTCGGATGCTCCATCTCCCTCTTCGATGGTCCTCTGG